CCACTCAGGAACCCCTTCTTTCCTCCCCCGCAAAAGCCCACTAATAATAATAGTGTCACCAAGACTATTGTTCACTGTCACCTTCAAGGTTTCCAAGTCGATTGACTCTGCATCTCTCTCCTTTTGAGTTTAATCGTGTATTTCTAGTCATCAGGACCTTACTCTATTTTAGATCTGCATTGCATTGGAAGATCTTTTCCTCTCCCTATTGATCACAGCTCGTGGAGTAATTTAACTCAATTCCAATTTTCCTTTGCAGGCGGGGAGCTCCCTATCCACGGAAGTGAGTTATGTGCGTTCAAGTGGTGCCTCTTACGAATCTTGTGAAGCTTTGCTGCCTTATAGCCCCGCTGATGGAATATTTAATCACAGAAATGAGTCGGCAGATATGATATACAGTGTGCGTGAGCTTTGCAGCCATCTTACCACAGCAAGTGAGAAACGGATGACGTTGCCATTTGTCAGGACCATGTTGACAATTGTGTATAGCCTTCTGTTATTTATTTTTATTTTGTTTTACTCATGTAAGAAGATTAAAGGTGCTTTCAACCAGCAGTTTTGTTAGCTAGCTATCATGATTATCCCTTAAGAATATCACTTTTTTTAAAAAAAAAACCTTTCTTTAGATGGCAAAGGGGACTTCTCAGAATGACAGGAAACTCTAAGAATCCCTGTTGAGGCCTCCGCAGCGGGATTCCTAAAAACCCTATTTTTAATTACACGAAATAACCTGAGAAATGCTACTGGGAACAGATATTTGCAGACATTTTACTTCTACTTAGTGCCTTCAGTTTTATTTTGACTCTAAAATGGCATGCCCGTACATGCTGGCTAGTCTTTGAAACTCACCTGGGCATTTTTTTGTATTGACTTATCAATCATTTGTCATGAGAATAAGCCTCAAGGAGTCTGAAGATGATTAAGCTTAGGAAAAATAATCAATGCTCTGCTTAGCTTTATAGGAAAACACCCACTTGTCTTTGGAGGAGATTTATGTATGTTCATGGAATATGCTGATTTAGGTGTATCTGCTTCTGGAAACTGGTATTGGATAAGCATTTAAAAGAGTTCTTGCAGGTATAAAACTTGATGAGAGTTCAGAAAAACCACCCCCAATGAAAGACCTTTCCTAACAGCTTTCTAAATGCTTCTCTTAGAACGTGTGTGAGGGAGAGTGCATGTCATAATTTATCAAAGCAAATTAATACTGTTCAGCTAGTAATTAAAGATCCTCATTAAGAGGTATAACTGCTCTCCCCACCCCCACCCTGCGTGAGCAATAAAAACACACTCCGGGCGTCAAGAGGTTACAGACGAAAATCGATAACCTGCCATTTTATAATTAAAGGGAAAATAAATGTTAGGGGAAAAGTCCACTAAATTAGGAAAATTACCTTTAGGAGAAATTGAAAATATTGATTTTAATTTACAAAATATGTGCACTTTTCATGCCCCATTCTGAGAGACAATTGGAGGCTGGGTTGTTAATTCTGCATAAGCTTCATAAAATCAATAATTATACTATGGAAATATTGTGATCTTTGTCATTAACACGAAGTCTTATATATAGAAATGACTAATAAAATAAGGCTGGCTCTCTGTGTCAGGCAGATACAGGGCTGACCTGTGAAATACCCACAGCAAATCAATGACAAGGTCTTCATTTCAGCTCTGGGGCACATTCAAAATTCCAAGATAAATCCAGACTATGTTTGTAGTTGGGGAAATTTAAAATGCCCCCTAGATTCTTAGTCATGGGTATTTAAATGGATAACATGAGGCATTATACCTGGTTATGGAAATGAATACATTCTACAGCTCTGTTTTGCATATATGCATTCCACAGATACAGGTGCCTGAAATTTTAGATTTAAGCTAGCAGGATTCTCAGTGTTTATGGGTCTTCAAGTATTTAAAAGGAATTGTTCTGGAGTGTTGGATCTGCAGCAACATTTCCCCACATTTCTGAATATCATGAGCTCTGTCTACCTACATAGACAAACATACAGGCTAAAAGAGAAAGCCTCTGGTTATCAACGATAGCCCAGATATTGGCAACACCAAACACAAATATTCACATTTCTCAAGTAACATTTACTTCTCCGTGCCCCCTCATCCCCCCCCCTTTTTTTTTAGATTTAAGTTTACTGAAGCTGCTCATAGAAATAATTATTTGGTTGTCCGGGCTCCTGAAAGCTTCCCCTGGCATAAGCAGTTAATATGTGTGAATACTGTGGTATTTGGAATAATCCAAAATTATTATCTTACTTCTCTTCTTTAATTTGACTGATTTGGAGAGAGCAGTAGCGTGATCTACTATCAGAGGGCACAGTCAATAAGAATGATGACTTTTAACATTCATAAAAAATAAAGCAAAGTAACCTGGTTGCAAAGAATACAGGCTCTTGATTTTAGCTGGCTTTTTACCAGCTGTGAAATCTTAGCCCTGTGATGCAAACCCTTTGTACCTTAGTTTCCATATTTGGAAAACTGCCATGAGGATTCAAACACATTAATTTAGGTAAAGTGCTTAGATCAGTGCCTGACCATAAAAGTACTCAATCAAGAGTAACCCTTATTACAACTTATTTTTTCCCCATAGTCCAATGATTTTTTTTTTTTTTTTTTTTTTTTTTTTCGGTAGGCGGGCCTCTCACTGCTGTGGCCTCTCCCGTTGCGGAGCACAGGCTCCGGACGCGCAGGCTCAGCGGCCATGGCTCACGGGCCCAGCCGCTCCGCGGCATGTGGGATCTTCCCAGACCGGGTCACGAACCCACGTCCCCTGCATCGGCAGGCGGACTCTCAACCACTGTGCCACCAGGGAAGCCCCAATGATCTAACTTTTGAGGCTGGGCCCAGGGCTCATCTGAATGGCTGCTCTAATGTTCTAAAAGTTATGCAGATTCATGTATTCTCCTAGGTTTAAGTCATTCTGAATTGTTTCTTCTGTCTTAATGGCCTCTTAAACACCCACAGATATGCACAGAGGTTTGAAATCATTGGAAAGTAGATATTTGGTGTTTTCCTGGTTGCTTGAGCCAAAGGCGACCAGCAACTACATTGTGTAGGGCTGGAAAAATGTACTTTCCTCTCTCTGTCACAATTCGTACATTCATACCCTACCTCCTCATTGAATGGTTTCTTGCTTCTTGCTCTTGATCCCATTATTTTGGGGGAGAAAAAACATGCACATAGGCACGTGCACAGACACGGACACACACACACACGCAGAATCTGCCACCTCTTTATTCCAGACTCCATTTCACCCAGCACTGCCAGCAGATACACAGAAGCTGCTTTCCAACTTCCTCCTTGCCCTTTTGGGGGATTTCATTTCTCTGAAGCTTTGGACAAAGATGTATCCCAGCAATATCTGTGCCCCCTGAATTGATAAGCTGAGCACTGAAGGACTAGTCCTCTCATGAATTAAAAGAGAATCTTTTAGTCTAGTGGTACACTCAGAATTCAGCAGAATCAGCTCTCAGTTAACTTTCCCCTTATGGCAGAGAGGTGGAACATTAACTTATTTATTTCTATTTCCTCGACATTTATATGGTGCTGCTATGCACCAAACACTCTTCAGATATTAACCCATGTAATTCTTATAAACACCTGTGCGTTTGTTACTACTATCATCTCCCATGTAACAGATGAAGACGCTGAGGCACAGAGAGGTTAAGTAACTCGCCTAGAATCACACAGCTGGCAAGTAGAGAAACCAGGATTCCATCCTGGGCTGCCTGATAGTAATGCCCACGTTCCTCACTCTTTGTGTCCCCTCAGGAAGTGGACCCCACCACATAGCCATGGAAAGCCTTATAGCTAGGTCTTGCCTCCCCAATAAGAGTCAACACAACTACTTCACTATTAGAATCCCTGGTTGTAACCCAGGCTTGTAATAAAATTCACACATGAAGAACAACTACAAATATTGCCTACCTAAAATCCAGAACTCAGCTATCACATTGGGCCTTCCAAGGTTTACCATCTATTAAAATCAAGTTGGTTTTTGTGCTAGAGTAGCTGTCTAAGTTTCCTATGTTCCTTTGTCATCCACTAGGGTCAATGTTTAGTTTCGGGAAGATGATTGACGTAGGGCATCTCAGAAGAGACAAAGCAAGGGGTGTGACTTACCATCAAGAGATTACAAAATGAGTGGATCTAAACCAACGGGTCATTGATTTCTCCTTATTAAAAAGCAAGGGCCACATCAAAGCAAGACTTCTTTTCAACATCAATGTGACAAATCTACTAAGGTTCTCAGGTGTTCAGCGCAGCCTTGTTCATGAGCAGGGAAGCAACAGGTAGAAGTAACAGGTTATGCTGAGCAAAAAAATCTCAGCTGCTGTTGCTTCTGAGTTACTCTCTCCCCAAATCTGACGACCAAGTTTTCTGGGACAGTGGATTTGAGTGGCAGTTGGGTGGCTGGGAAGGGATGAGGAGAAAGCTATATACCCTTGAAGGCAAAGCAGAGAGAAAGGGAATTGCTAAGGGAAATTGATTAATGGAAAAAGAAGGACAACTTAGCTTTCCTAGTTTTCTAAATTATCCTTCTCTTTGCAATTCCAAAACACTGGCACATTATTGGGATAATTAAGCCAACTCTCTGCTTTGCCAAGGGAATAAAAAATGCAATTCCAAATGGAAACGTATGGCTGAAAAACACGTTCAGGCACATTGAAAGAAAACAGGCATGAGCAGCTGTCCATTTGTTCAAATCTCTTGAACAAAATCTCAGTGCTTTTTTTGAGGCAAAATCAGTGTGAAATGTCACAAGGAGCCGTGGCTCCATGCTTATGCCACAATGTAACTTACATGATTCCCCTTTATTTTTTAAAAGCTTTTAAACAGTTTTGGTTTTGCCTTAAAAAAAATCATTCAAAACTTGCCAGGATAGGAATTTATCAGTTCAGATTATTTTATAAACCCATTCTTTATGGGCAGGCAAAGCACATTTAGAAAAGACCAAGAAGACATCATGCAAAGAGAAAACTCTTTACCTGCATAGAATTCGGGACTGTACACTGCACCCACAACTGGATTCAATTTCCAGCCTTAAAATAAATACACAAAAATGTTATCATCACATTTGATTCAACAACTCCTATCACTGCAAATTAACTACAAGTCAAATGGGTTGACTACAAGTCAAAAGTCAAATACACCAAAATGGTGTATTTTTTTTTATTTTAAAATTAAGAGAATGTATAGTTTGGGCAGGCATAAAGTATACTTGAAAACTATACATAGGAAAAATAGATTTAGGCCCTTTTTTGATTTTCTGCCAATACAAGTTAATAGCATGGAAACTACTGACCAGCTACAGGTGAACCTTTTGAAAAGGATGTGATAATTCATTTCATCCCATATCAATATTTTCTAGAGCCCCTATAATAATTTAAATTTTTTGGTCTTCTTTCATGGATCACTGCTAGATATTCCTTTGTATTAAGTTCATCCCTTTGTAATACATCCCTTTGTATTAAGTTCATCCCTTTGTAATACATCCCTTTGTATTAAGTTTGCAAAGTTTTGGAAGATGAACAGAATTCTTTGTAGAAACATATTCTGAAAATCGTCATTCCTAATTGTGACCCAGAGACTCTACAGAACTCCAAAGTGCTTTTTAAATCCCAAAGAAAATGACATTTATCCACTACAGATTGTGTGGAATACATTTCAAAGAATTCAAGAACCATAAAAATTCTTAATAAGCATGTGATATCTAAGGTAACTTTCAAATAACCTGTATGTTCCAAACGTTCCACATGGTGCGTTTTCTGTAAAAGGAATCCTGGCCCTTTAGAAACTTTTACTCAAGAAAAGAGCAAACAAGAATATTTGCAAATCAAGCTACTCTCATTACACACCCACTGGGCACTATTTAGGGAACAACCTCAGAAAATGATCATGTTTTAGGGTTTGGTGATCATTTCCTGCTCCTGCTGGTAAGTCTTTATAAAAGCATCCATTACAGTCTTGCCAAAAGACACTAGACAGGTATGGGAAACCTTGTGTCTTTGAGGTGAAGGTCAAACATCAGAGGTCCTCTACTAAATGCTCCTGAGAAAAGGCAATGGTGAGAGTTGTGATGTGAGAGAAGGTACTTGTGACAAGTACTCTCTGAGCTCTTCCCAGAGGGAAAGGGTGTGCCATCCTATTGCCTGGTCTAAGTGATGAGCCTGGAAGAACAGCTGAGAGGTGACCACAATCTACTGATCCACTAAGGAAGACAGAGGCACTATATTGCAATAGATTGGCCCCTGGATGGACCTAAGAACTTCCTAGAACTTTCCAAGAATGTTTTGTTTCTAGAAACTTTCCGTTCCAATTTGAATAAACTAGCTGGTTTACAGCACCCAGGGTGATCTTAGGATAGGGTTTTCCAAAGGGTTATCCTTGGATTACTTGGAGGCATATTAATGGGAAACTCCTGGCTGCAATTTTAGACCCAGAGAACGAGACATGAAATTCTGAGACGTATTGTCCCAGGGGCTTCTGAAACTCCATATTGTCACCTTCCTCTCCTATATTAAATACATCTTATCTTATAGAAATTCCTATAGTGGTATAAAAATAAAAATTACCCCAATCATTTCAGAATATGTGCTTTATAAATATGGAAAATGACTTCAATTTGACCAACTGAAATTCACTGCTTCCTAAAAAAGAAATTACTCAATTTCTGAGGACATGTCCACATTTTAAGTCATTTGGAATCAAAGAGAAAATAGAGCAAAGTGGCTGCAAATAAAGCTTCAGGGTTATCTGGACATATTTAATTTTCTCTTGCTAGTTTTTCACAGAAATCTAGAGTTTGTGAAAGAAATCTATACGTAGCCATATTAAGTGAATAATTAAGTTATGAATTTATTACCCTTCTTCTTCCCTCTGTCCTCCATCTTACATCCTGCTTATGCCCCTACCTTTTACTGGTAGTGGAGACAGGGTCGTTTTGAAACCATTGTTTCTTTTATGTATTCTTATTAACTCCCTTAAATAATTCCTTTTGCACACGAGGCTGGGACACACCATTCACTGAATGTGGATCCATTGATTAACTTTGATGTAACTCTCAAAGATTGTAAGTTAGGCCAACAGTCTTTCATTTTTTTCAAAGAAACAGATTTCTCAGTCTTTCATTTTTCTCAAAGAAACAGATTTCTCAGAGGTGTCTAAGACTGTCTAGAAATCATGTTTCTCTCATCTACATTTACCTTCCTCATTTCCCTGGGCTAAGAAAACTCTATCTATGTATCTATTTATCTATCATCTATCTATCTATATCTATCATCCATCCATCCATCCATCTCTATCATCACTCTTTCTTTATTATCTATTTATCTTTTGACTAATCAATCAATCTCTCAGCTCTTGACAAAGCTGACCTGATGTCTTCTTAGGGCATGCTACTTAATGCCACTTTCTAACTATCTACCAATGATCTACCAGTTTACCAAGTCTCCCCATGGAAAACTTCCATTCAATATAAACATAATAGAAACAAAATGATACTCTCCCTCCTCAGAAGATCTATGCCATCTCACATTTGCAAGTATTAATTGAGAGAGGTAATTGATAAGGTTTCCTCTACAATAAGTCAGCTGAGATATGTGAGCAGCAAAATGAAATGAGACTGCTCAGGTAGCCATGGGAACATCAGTGCAGGTTTTCCCTTCTTCCCATCACTGGTCTTTTCTCCTAAATAAGGCTGCTCTATTCCCACTGTAGGAAAAACAAAGGCTTTTCTGAACCACACCACAGGCACGAAAATTCAACTTCTCATCTCCCTCCTCCCCTGAAGCAGATTCCTCACCAAGTCTTCCCCCCTTCAGCAAATGGCATCTCCATCCACTTGGTTCCTCAAAACAAAATTCTTGATAAATAATGCCTTGATGCTTCCCTTACCCTCATATCCCATGTACCATCCATTAGAAAATCCTGTTGGTTAGACTTTGAAAAGATGTTTCCACTCTCTCCACTTCCCTCCCTCACCAATGCCACCATCCCAGCCCAAGACATTTATATTTCTTAGCTGGACAAGTCCACGGCAACAAAGTCCTAACTCTCACCGTCTTCTCTTCCTCTTTTCCTAGTGGCCAAACCCATTTTTAAAAGTAAATCAGACATGTCATCCTGCTACTCAGAATTCAATAGCTTCCTGCTGCACTTAGAACACAAATTCTTCTTTAAAACAATTTATTTATTTAACTTATTTATTTTTGGCTGTGTTGGGTCTTTGTTGCTACGCGTGGGCTCTCTCTAGTTGCGGCGAGCAGGGGCTACTCTTCGTTGAGGTGCGTGGGCTTCTCATTGTGGTGGCCTCTCCTGTTGCGGAGCATGGGCTCTAGGCATGCAGGCTTCAGTAGTTGCAGCATGCGGGCTCAGTAGTTGTGGCTCGCAGGCTTAGTTGCTCCGCGGCACATGGGATCTTCCCGGACCAGGGATTGAACCCGTGTCCCCTGCCTTGGCAGGTGGATTCTCAACCACTGCGTCACCAGGGAAGCCCTAGAACACAAATTCTTTACCTTGGCCTACAAGCCCACACAATCTAACCCCGGTCCATTTGTTTTGTACCACTGTTCCCTTTTCTCCAAACTGTGGTGACACTGGCCTTTTTCATCTTTTCAAAACAACTTAAGATCCTTCTAGACCAATCTAGACCATTCTGGATTGTATCCACTGCTCGCTCTGCTTGGAGAACTCTGCTCATTCCTCAAAAGTTGACCTGATATTGTTTAGGTCTCCAATGCCTCCCCAGGGCTGGCTGTTTAATGCCTCTTCCTTCCCTACTCTTACGGCCGTCCCCTGATTCAATTCCCAGTTTTGTTTTCTGCATAGCGGTTAACACCGCCTGGATTTATCTTTTTTCTTTTGTTGCTTGTTCTTAATTGTTTTTATAAACTTTCTCCTTCATTAAAATTAATGGTGAAGTGAGCGGGCCTGACTGCTGTCCGATGTGAATTCCCAACATCTAAAACTGTTTGGCAAATAGTCAATGCTCCACATATTTACTTAGTTTTGCTCTAAAGGAACTGAAAGAATAAAGAGCTTTTTTTTAATGGACTCATTCCTTTTTAGCTAGGATCTCCTTCCTACCGTCAATGACCTGCTTCCCTATATACACCTAATAAAAAAGGGCCCTGTTAGGGGTGACTGTCTTCAAGGGAAAGGCAATAAGAATCCAGCCCTTGAAAATCACCTCTGCTCAGACTTAACAGGGATCTTGCAGGCTTATGTAAATACATGCAAATCACATGCAAATGGCCTCCTAGTCCCTATGACTCCTTCTAGTACCTGGAAGGGACTCTTGGGATCACCTTGCTGGAGACAGGAGCCTGCACTGTCAGGAAGACGGACAAAATGATCCCAGTTTTAATTTCTCAGGCAGTTTGTGTATGTCCCCAGGCCTTGCAAATTCAGAGATTTTGATCAAGGACATTAAACTGAACAATGAAGCTTACAACAAAGGGAGAACAGCTGACAAAGCCCACCGCTCCCAGCTCCCAGGGCCCCCATACAACAAGGCAATGGAGTAGAGACCAGACATGTGGAGGTCTCACTCCATATCACACATAGGAGCTGTTTAGAGAGATCCCTCTGCGGCCTGGCCTCAAGGGGCTGCATCCAAATCAGTGTTCCCCTCCTAAAATTTAGCTTCTCAAAGGTCATCTGCCAGCCTTCTGCAGAAACACTGGCCGAGGTCCCCAGTGTTAACTACGGCTGTATTAGGTGTTAAAAGACAGGTCTGAATGTGCACACAAAAAACTCTGCATGTGCCTTCTCTAGGGCTTTGCGGAGTTGGGTATCGAAGAAACACATTCAAGAAATCACCCTTAAATGTCCGGGGTTTCCATAATTCAAAAAGAGTCATGTACCACAATGTTCGTTGTAGCACTATTTACGATAGCCAGGACATGGCAGCAACCTAAGTGCCCATAGACCGATGAATGGATAAAGAAGATGTGGCACATATATACAATGGAGTATTACTCAGCCATAAAAAGGAACAAAATTGAGTGGTGAGGTGGATGGACCTAGAGTCTGTCATACAGAGTGCAGTAAGTCAGAAAGAGAAAAACAAATACCACATGCTAACACATATATATGGAATCTAAAAAAAAAAAAAAAATGGTTCTGATGAACCCAGGGGCAGGACAGGAATAAAGACACAGACATAGAGAATGGACTTGAGGACATGGGGAAGGGGAAGGGTAAATTGGGACGAAGTGAGAGAGTGGCATGGACATATATACACTACCAAATGTAAAACAGATAGCTAGTGGGAAGCAGCTGCATAGCACAGGGAGATCAGCTCAGTGCTTTGCGACCACATAGAGGAGTGGGATAAGGAGGGTGGGAGGGAGACGCAAGAGGGAGGGGATATGGGGATATACCTATGCATATAGCTGATTCACTTTGTTATACAGCAGAAACTAACACAACATTGAAAAGCAATTTTACTCCAATAAAGATGTTAAAAAAAAAAAATGTCTGGGGTTTCCCAAACTGCACACCGAGGTTTTCTAAAGACATGACCTGAGGATGCCAGGGATCTGGTATTTGAAATGGTGCAGACGGAAATGCCCAAAATGAAAAGTCAGTTGCACATTGCATCTGGTTCACTCAGGAACTTTTTTTTTTGCAACACATATTTATTGTCAACATTTAAATTTCGTCTATACAGGATTTCTGTTTCTCTTCAAACATGAGCAGAAATAGCAACTTTAGGTTAAGAATCCTCCATGGGCCAATTTGCTGGGGGTGATGAGGGACCACCCCACTTAATCCTCCAGTTTGTCTCCTCCCTATTACATGCTGGGCTTGGAGGCCAAAGGTCAGCAATCTTTTATTGTTACCCTGTGCTGTTTTTTTCTTCTAGGAGAGACATACTTTGCTTTTCCCAGTATGAAAATGAAAGAGTCCCAAAAGGCCACAAGTTTCTCAGACCCTCTCTGCTTCCTTATTTATTTGACCTAGCCAGCTTCTGTTAGCATCTGAATGTTTGATCCTTAAGTTAATATGTCTATCAGGAAATTCAGCTTACTATCTACAGGAAAAAAAAAAAAAGAGAACAGGATGGCAACTTATTACTGAGATTATTGTGTAAATAAATTTTTAGGGGACTTTGTACCCCTGCCACTGTTTTGAGTATTTTATCTCCCATAATAATCACAAATACCCTATATAGTAGGTCCCATTTCTCAGGTCCCACTTGGGAAAGCTGTTATGTGGAGTGTTTCAACAGCCTGCCTGCAGTTCAATAGCCAGTGAAAGGCAGGTAGGATGCGAAGTCCACCTCTCCATACAGTCTTGGGTCTTTTTGTCCCGTTTTCAACCTTCCTAAGATCTCAGAGAAAATAAAAGAGCTACATCCAACACCAATGCTTCTCCAACATCGAAGAAGTTCCTGAGAATCTGATTTTCAACTTGTTTTACAGAGGAAACATTTGATCTCCAATGAGCTCAGTAAAGCTTAACTCTTCTCTGAGGGTTGGTGTCCTCAGGAAAAATCAGCAATACAGAAGTAGCCCGCCCAAATCCCTCTTTGTGGAGCTTTTTGATGGGGCGGGTTTCCAGACCCCTATGTGTCATTCTACAGTCTTCTCTTACTGCCAAGTTCAAATGTCCTGGGAAACGGAATCCACATCCTCCATGATTTCATTAACTTTGGTCCTCTATAGCAGAGCCTCCTAACCTTGTGTCTTATCGCGGTTAGGGTCCTGTCCCATTCATCATCAAAAACTTTGCAGTTGCTTAAAGTTTTGCTGGATGACTGACAAGACTGAAGGAGTGCATGAATGTGATGCTGGCATGGAGAGCTATATTTTTCCATGTGAAGGTGATCTCAAAATTTGATGACTCTAGTGATGCATAATTTTGCTGAAGCCTAAGTTTGATGGTTTGTGAGAATGAATGAGGTAGCTAATGAATGAATCTCACCAATCAATTTTCTCATTTCCATGTGACTTTATTTGTCCTCACTTCTCTTTTTTTTCCTGGCTTTATCGAGGCATAACTGATAACTAAGTTTGTCTATACTGAAGGATTGAAGGTGTACCATTTGTTGATTTGATATACATACACACTGTAAAATTTTTGCCACAATCCAGCTAATTAACATATCCATCATCTCACATAGCTACCACTTTCTTTTTTTTTTCTTTTTGGCAGTGATAATATCCTCCATTAACACAGTCATGCTTGTTAAGGATCTGAGAGGGACCCATATCTTTTCAGTTATGTTGGATTGCCTTTTATGGGAAATTTTACTTGTAGTGATGGTACTCATGAATTAAGGATTGAAAAAGCTTTGAAAACTACTTTTCTTGAATACCAAAATTCTCCACCATCTCCACTATAGAAGCCAATCATCTTTATGTAGTTAGGATCTGCCTTTTTTTAAAAGTCAGTTCTACTGCGACTGCCCATCTACCCCTTAGGTACCATCCTCAGTCCATGTGACAGGATAAGCCCCTGAGTACCCCCTTTTGGGTACACAGATTAGAGACCCATATGACATTTCTGGAAACTAAGAATGCATGGTTCCCTGGAATGGGATGTGGGATGTTTATGCCAACATACCAAACTGGGAATTTGGGGCTGCAACTTTAATAATCTTTCTGTTCCTGTAGCTGGTTGCTTGAGTGCAGCTCTGTAAGATGACAGGGGAAAGCGATGCACTCATAACACATGGGCATGGCCACCAGATTTTATTTCATAATAAAAAAAAATCCTTCACTAATCACTCCATCTCCTCTAGCCTCAAATTTTACAGCTTTACCACAGGAAAACTATGTCTTCTTTACAGGACTTCACGTGGACCCAGTGCATCTAAAATGCTTAACATAATGCCATACACTCAGAGATGTTGGCTATTAATAAATAGGCTTTGAGTTGTGTCTCCAAGGCCCACAGGTCCAGTTTTCAGCCCCTGGGTATGTCATTGATCAATAGCACTTTCTTTAAAATAAATATGCCTACATATGGCTTAAGGAATAATATTTGGCTTCCCTTGCTTTATTTTCTCACATAAGCAGCAGATATGAACATCTATGCATATGCATGAAAGCATGCGTGGTGCAAACACACACACACACTCTCACACGCACACACAATTGCTACTTCATAATTAAAGAAAGTGCCCAGTAGTCATGTTGGTGTCATTGTGTACTAGCTCTGGCAAGTTGCAGAGCTATCATTTTTACCCAAGTAGAAAGTCTTCATGACATGTAACTCAGCGGTTTGCTTCATTTCATCACTGGGCATTCAAAGTCTGTTGCAAAAATTTTCTATACCATTTAAGGTTATGTCTTGGGTTGCTGGAGCTGGGAAAATGGGTCAGCAGAATAAATAATTCTTCTGGTCTTTCTCCTTAGACTCCTATTATATTGAGGGTATATTTCTGTTTAATTTTGCCCCTTTTAAAAATAAGAACAAACTGGCTTAGCCTAATTGGTAGCCATTTGCACAAGAAAGAAGAAAAACAAAAACAAAACTACCAAATGCTTGTAGTATTGTTTATAATAGAAAAAAAACGTCAATCAGTACGTGAGGTGGGAATAAACCCATATATTCATTTTATGGAATATTATGTAACCACTAAAAAGAATGAATGTAGTCTGTATGTATTAACATTGAAAGAACTCCATATGACTTATAAAAGCCAATTAGAAATGATATGTACACCATGTTCATATAAAAAGAATGCACACACTACTGTGAATGTTATAAATATATACTGACTACGTATACATACAAGAAAGTGCAAAATAAAGGTATAGACAATAATCTGTAATAGTGGTACCTTCTGAGGAGGTAGCTGGGAAACCAAGGTGGCAGTAGTGTCATTCAAAATATATTTTAGCCTTTTCTTCCCCCCCTTTTTCCTTCCCTCCTTCCTTCCTCTCCCCCTCTCTCTCTTTCTTTCTTTTCCTTTTTTAATGTCTGTATTTCCATGTTTCATGTGTAATTAAAATGTTAAAAATGGAAAATTCCATAAATTTTTCCTTAAGACTGTAATAAAATTGCTATTTTTAAAAAATATATAAACCAAAAAATATCTTCCAGTCTCACAATTCAATTCAACCATTAACATTTTGGTGTAATGCCTACCTTAATTCAAATCATGCTATACATATAATTTTCTTATTTTAAAACTTTTAATTCATTATGAGGCCCTTTGTAGTCTTCATCCTACTCATTTTAATGACTATAATATTCCACTAAGCTCTAACTTTAACTTACTACATTACATTCTTTCTAATTCTGGTACAATTAAGTATGTGATTAGCATATCAGCAGCCTCCCTCCCCCCATATATCTTAAGAGACATTTTTTTCTGAGAAGGATTAAAGAATCAAAATGTGTGAGCATTTTAAGTAACTCTTCATACATATTAAATCCTTATTATGAAGCGTCTTGAGATGTCTTCTTCTAGAGCAAGGGCAGAAATGCCTTGTCCTGAAGGGGTCTGCAATACACAGCAACACCCTCACCTGCCCCCAAATGCCACTGGTGGGCAACCAGTTCTCACTATGGAACTGGTCATGAGACACCCTCTAAGGCACTTTAAAAGCCTAATAGCTCCAGAGAAGATTCAAAGCCAGAACCAAATTCTGCAGTCCCACTTCTGGGGATGATTAGTGATCAGTGAAGAGGTGGTGATGAAAAAAGAAACAAACAAAACTTCCATCCTCCTTCAACTAACTATAATAACAATAAATTAAATTACCCAAGTAATTCCTAAATAAGTACTGTATCTCACTCACATGGGAGTTATTACAGAGAGACTGAAAGAAGGACATGCACTCTTAACCTGAGAACTAAATTTGCCTTTGTCATGAAATTTATCTTATTGATTCAAGTGGTTCACTGTAGCAGGTCAGCAGCAAGGACACAGTAGCCATGCTAAGGCAAATGTGGCTTGTTGAAACAGATTCCCCAGTTAAATTACTTAATAGATTCTGAGGTAGAGACAATTTCTTGTAAAAGGCCAATCTCTACTTACCATTTGTATAAGGGTTGACAGTCTTTTTATTTGTCATTACACGTGCTGTGGCATTATTTACCTATGTACATAGAAAACTCAAATAAGCACATATTCCAGGGCCAGTCCACAGTTCAATTAGTTGCATGCATTATGACTGTGATTACTTATTAAAAAAAAAAACCACCAAAAAGTAAAATGCATTTTAATTTAAAGAAGGCAGTAGGTGCATAACAAAATCATACATTTTTATAATTACATTTACTTCATAACCATTTTAACTTAACAAATCATTTCAATAAAGCAATGTCATATCATTTAAAAGTTTAATAAGGAGACAGTAAAAGCAAATTAAAAGGAACTGCATAATTGAAGACTGAAAAGCATGCGTGTACTCCATGGTAACACAGAAACAATAAATATTTTTTAAACATAAAATAAGGTTCACATGAAGGAACATGCAGTGGAATAGAAGAGGGGAGAGACAAGGTACAAGGGAACATAAATGTCAAAAAAAGGACAAACAAGTTTTAGCCGTATGCAACACTTTACGAGGGAAGAACCATCGGGAAGCAACATCTAGCATTCAACACTTGGAACAAGAGCCTTTTACATCGCAAGAATTAACAAAATCATTCAAGCTTTAAAGTCACAGCTAACAAAAGGATAAAAGAGAGGGTGCATTGTTTAACACAATATGGAGTTAACGATCTGAGTAAGATGTGCACTGGTCATATCTCAATCCAGTCAGTGCCTCCCAGGCTAGCTTAGAACGTACACTCAGTTACAGGCGTACCAATATCCAAAAAAATAGAGCATCAAGAAAACTTAATACAACAAGTCAAAAAAATTCACGTGGTATATATATGTATAGAGATATATCAGCACTAAATACGTGAAACGGCAGATGGATTTCACCACTTACCATTCACCACCATCGCCAGCATGAGTTTGTATACAGTTACCATGGTTACTGAGAGTTTGGTGAGGGGCCTAAGGGTTATCGTCGAGGGTGGGAGGAAATGAAAGGCAAAATATGCAACATCTTACTCCAAAGACTAAAGCATTTTTAACTGGTATTTTTTCTTTTTTTTTTTAAGTTTTAACAAATACTACCCTGTGGTCATTTTGAGGGAGAGTCAGTGGTAGAAAGAGCAGATTCTGAGTATCGGAATTTTAGCGTTTATTATTTTCCATGAAGAACGGCCAGATATTGAACAGGAAATCCTGTTTGGTTATTCACTTTGTGATCAAAAGAATATAAAGTTCAAACTGGCTTCTTAAAAAAACAAAAAAAAAGAAAGGTTTCATGACAAAAACCTCTCACTTTTTTTTTTTTTTCCCAAACAATCGTTCTCTCGAACGCCATTTCTTTCACAATTTGGCTTAATTTGCACACCACTGTGGATCCCTCATCAACCCTGTAGTGGAAAGAAAAAGAAAAGGAAAAAAAAAAAGAAACTGCTCTGTATTTTGTTTTGTTTGGCAACACTCTCTCCACTACTTGGAATCTACTGCACCCATTGGTTATAAAACATGAAAAATAAAATAATTTAAAAATCCCTTTCAGATTAACCTTTCTTTTGTCTCACTTTTGCCATCCACCTTTTAGCAGTAATAAGAGTAACATAATAAAGGAAAATTTAAAAAAAATTAAGGCCAGTTTTCCTTTTTATATATAAATAAATATATATATATATATAAACAATGAGAAGGGAGTAGGGTCACACACAAGACACAATGATGCATCTGAAACAACAAATGAGCGTGAAGCAGACACTTATCAAAAAGATGAAAAGGAAAATATTTTGGACATGCACCTCGATTTTACGGCCCTCTACCACGGTGCCGTGTAATTTCTCCCTCGCCCTGTCCGCATCGGCACTATTTTCGAAAGTTACGAAACCAAATCCCTGCATGCAGGAGGGAGAAGGGAAAACAACATGCAGATTATTATTTTCAGTCAACGACCACTGTGGAACGTTCTCTCGCTTTAATTTCTATTTCTTGTCCTGGCTTCAGTTCTGTAACATGCAAATTAGAGAAATTATAAGAGTACTAAAATGTGCAATAAGTAAGCGACAAATGTGAACAAGATTTTTGTTTTCTGTCACCCGTTAGCTGTCACCCCTGAAGAATTCAAAGAATGATACCAGAAATACCTTTCTAAATGTCACTACAGAAGAAAAGAAATCTAACGGAAAGAAAATGAGATCAAAATAAATGTACAGTGTCTTCACAGAGAAGAAAATGAAATAACGAGGAAAAAAAAGGGAACCACTTTCTTGACATGCAAATTAAGAAGAAAAGAAAAGAAAACGTGTGCACAAAATTCAACAATGAATGCCAGAATCTTCTAACATTGCCTACAGAGTCATGCTGTGTGGTTTTAAGACCATCTCTTCTCCATGCAGTTTTAGGGTTATTCAAATTTGTCAATTCTACAGCCTTTATGTCTCAAAAAATAAAAATTAAAAGCCTAAAAAAAAAGGAAAGACCTTTTTTTATAATAAATCTTAAACTCTGATCTAATAAGCAAAATAATCCCATGAAATGAATAGAAATAAACATCAATTGATTAATAATGCAAACAGTTCAAGTAACATTTTTGTATTAATACTTCCCCTCTGACCCTGAAAATAATATACATGCTTCGGAATTTGTCAACTTTCCCGACCACTTTATTAACCCAAAAGGGAAATGTGTATTCATACGGTAAAGTCCTAAGACATTATGCTGGTATTCATTTATCAAATCAACTGGTAGAAAATAAAGAAGCTCCTTTAATAGAATGTTATTTATAATAACACTCTGGGAACTTTTATTGGTCAATAACAAATATACCCTTTTCTGCACCACTGGCATATTTTGTTTAATATTTCAGCCTCAAAAAACAACCCCCCAAACATTGCATTGTTAAAAATCCATCATTTTTCTTCACTGACACTGTTCCTAAGAAGAGTACAGAAAATATGACACATTATTTTTAAAACCCCTAAAAATATTTGTACATCTTGTTCAGAAATATACACCAACCGTTTGAAACAATTCCAGTGCAAATATGCCCAGCTCGTTCTGGTCTTCATAGTGTAAACTGGGTGAAATAATGCAATGTGCCAGGACTCCTCTTTGTGTTCAGTAATCTTTACATAAAGGAAAAATGCTAGCTTTAAGCTTAGCTGGGGCAGTAGGACAGTCTGTCCCACTAATAAAATAGACCGTCATTACAACTTACAGCTAGTCATTAGCTGTTAACTCTCAGATCCTCATTAGATTGCTAAAGGGATGTCCGAAACTCAGGGTATTTAGAGAGCTGTTACCCAGTGCTTTAACTAAGAGAGAACTTTCCAATATTAAGATGGGCTCATGCATAGAAGAAACTATCTGTGGATGTCTTCAAGTTAGATTAGATAATTATCTGATAGAGAAAAAAATTAATTATTCACTTGGGGGATTAGGCTGAATTACCCTTCATATTTCCCACAGTGAGGGTCCATGATTAGGGTAGGTCTGAACTATTTGATTAACCTAATAAGGTTACATGCTTAGAAGGAGGCTACTTAGTTCTATACATCACTGGTAGGATGCCCACATTTGGTACTCAAAGATACGTGCCGATTAGTTTTGAAATAATAGCTCTTCAACAGGCAAAAGACAGAATTTGGGGGAGGGGGTCGCTCTATTTGATGGCTCTGACTCTTAGCCAGTGGGTCCCACACTTAGTTGTACATCAGAAGGAACTGGAGAGCATATTAAACATTCAGATTCCTGAGCCCTGACCCATATCTATCGGATCAGAATCCCTGAGTGGAACCCAGAAATCTGCCGAAAAAGTTACCTATGTGGCCCAGCAATTGGGTTTCCATGGCCTCTCATACCACTAAGCACTATCAAAAGGATTCAGTTCTTTGAATGAAGTAGAATATTACATTGCCAGTTTCTATAGAGCAATTTAGGGAGTGGAGTGAGTTTTTGAGATGAATATCTATCTGACTTGGTGATTCGTATCTTAAACCTAGGGGTCAGCCAAAATCACATAGGAATGTTCTCTTCCTGACCTCTAAGCCCAGTGCTCTAGCGTCCATAGCCATGCCATACATTTAATAAGTAATTAGGGAAACTAGGACTCCGGCTCTATCTGGGGCAATTCTTTCACTTGGCAAGGAAAGGAAGCCCACAGTCCATTGCGATTTATCGATGGAGGGCTTGGTGGCATCATTGTTGTCGATAGGCACTAACAGTCGGGGTCACCGCAGTGCTGGAAGGAACATAGGCAGGAGAAAGTCGAACATGCCACCCACCTGTCTAACACGATCCCAACGAATCGAGTCATTGTGATTCTGGTCTGAGCCCAGAGCAAACCATACTGGCCTAAAATCTGCATCATGTATGTCAGGGAGAGGTGAAAGTGAAGATAAAGATTTATTCTGAACCCCAAGTTCATAAACTAAAAAGGAATTCTACTCCATTTTCACTTTCCTTTGAAGTAAAAAAAAATATTTATTCTCTTTATTATTTTTTTTAACTCTCATTATTTTCTGCTAAACTTTTTTTTTTTTTTTTTTTTTTTTTTTTTATTGTTTCTTTTTAACTTTTTTTTTTTTTTTTTTCTTTTTTTTGAGTGGCTCATTTCAACCTGCTGAGATGCCTAGTTGAGATCTGGCAAAGCTGGGTTCATGAAGACCTTGCTCCAGACTCAGTCCCCCAAATACCAAAGGGATTCTCCTACGTGTGCCATTGGACAATCCTACCTCCCACCCAGGTGAGAAGTGCTATGATGTCCCTGGGTCAGAAGATGGCCAGATTCTCATCTGGGGAGCTACACCATAACCAGAGACCACCAGCTGGCCATTTTGAGGCACCCTCTCCATCAAGCACAGGTGCTGTTTCTTTTGACCTGCCTCGTGGTCAGAATTCTATCTTAAGCAAAATGTAACTTGCAGAATATTCTTAAAATATTTTGAATATTTTTATCTCAGTCTTAAAAAGGGGATCAAAAGAAGCACCTTCTGGACTTGGCCTGGTGAGCACAGGAAGGAACTGAGTGCAATGCAATAACCTTGTAAAGATCAAGTGTGCAGGAGGGGCTGTATGGGGGGAGTCAGATGCTCCCTAAGTGCTGGAGGAGGGACACTGCTTCCCAGGGTTTACCTTAACAGAGAAGGGGGAGCTAAGAGAAAGTGCAATCCTTCAGAAGAAGAGAATCTGGGATATTTGTGCCCTATGATGGGAAGGCATGACCCCTAGGCAGATAATGGCGACCCTAACGTGGACCAGCCGTCACTTGCTTATTTTTAAATCTTTTTGTGAAACATAAATTCTGATCTTCCCGTATCCCAGTTATTTTTCTACTTTAGTCTTGTGGGATATATTTAGGCGATATCTTCCCTTTTTGTAGTAATACAAATACAATATTTTATAGCTGAAATAAAGGCTCTGAAGTATCCGGGATGGATGTGTGTGCTGACTTTTCATCTTACATGAAAATCTGATTCCACCAGTTTCTGGTGCAGAGAACTCCTATCACCTAGAAGAGGAGAGCTGTTGATAAGGGTCTGAAGGCTCATTTGCCTGTGGGACTAAGGGCTTTATGACCCACTTGTTCCCAATCGCCTTTTCACACGCAGACCCTTCTCCCTGGAAGACCATCTTCCCTCTTTCCCTTCCCTGGGAAACCCTGACTCATCTTTTTCTCGCAGCTTAAATGCCACTTCTCCCAGAAACCCTCCCAGCTTCCAACAAGATTGGTCTGCCTGCTTGGAGTCTCAGCAGCCTTTTCGCTGAGAACACAGCAAACTCTGTTGCATCTGTTTGTCTTAAGGATCCGTCTCTCAGGCTACTCTGGAAAGTCTGTGAGAACAGGAAGCACTTCTGTCTCGCTCATGTCCGATTCACCAACCTTGTACTGGAATGCAATCAATACTATAGACACCACTGAATCAAAGAGCAGACTGCATTTCCTAGGTCTATGAAAAAGTAGCTATCTCTGGCTGCACCCCCCAAATAAAATGTTTCAGAGGTAAACACAACATCTTAAAATCTCCGAAAAGGAAAAATGAATGATAGTATCTCTCACCCTGAAATGCTATCTCATTCCATTTTCCAAGTCTGGCAGATCTTTTCTGAAAGTGATTTCCTTGTTTACTTGCTATCCTTCTATACATGAACTTGTACATTATACATCCCCAGGATGATATAGATACTGCTTGTGTGTATATAGGTGTATATGCACAGGCACACGCACACACACACACACACACACACACACACACCAAACACCCACATTGAGCCTCCCTCATTGAGCACTGAGTGGCTGTCTTGGGATGGTCCCCAAAGACGACGGCCAGAAGGTCAGCTCCTAGCTTGTAAGCTCTCCTGTATTTCCTGGCTACTTCTCTAATACCAAAGGATGAAAATCAGGTCATACCAACAGTTCAGGTTTCTCGACCATTAAAGTGGAAATGTTCCTTTAAATAAGACCTTTTCCCGTAAAGGATAATGTCAAGTACGAAAGAAGGATATCCCCGTGTGAGCAGTTCCCTTCATTCAGCAGTTCCCAACTGGACTGTCTCCATGACATTCCAGTGGTACCAGTCAGCTCCCACACCTGCAAGACCAGTTCTTTCATTCAGAGGGAGCAAACCCACTGAGAGAGGCTATTTTTGATGGTTCTTAATCAAAAAAAAAAAAGGCTTCACAGCTTCACAAAATCAATCTCTCGATGCAGCAAATTTAAATGGTCTTATTCCTAAAGCCCTAGAGACAGGCTAATCACGAGAATGAGGGAAGAAGTCTTAAAAATAGCGCCACCATTGTCCTTTCAAAATAGCAAATGATATTCTTCTAATGTCCTTAAACAGCTCTCGAAAAAAATTAAATAGCTTCCTCCAACTTGCAAAAGTTACAAAACAAAGTACACATGGAATATAAATTTAAAAAAAAACAACCTTTAAAGGCATCAGTGCTAGGACTCAGGATTAGAAGAAAGTTGGCCAACATCTTCTATAACTTTGCCCAGAATACATCAGTCCTGAGTGAAAAGGATCAGGCACATTTTTCTCTTAATGCACTTGACTTTGCACATATAGAAATAGTACCTGTAATGCTTTTCATACCACAGCAGAAAGAGAGTTAGCTTATTTTTCCCCCAGCCTGGAGGTCAAACTACTGACATATTACAAGGATGACTGTAAAGCATCTGAAATTACACAATGATGAGCTCCCTAAAGTAGCAAAACCAGAGAGTATAATGAATTGATTTTTCTTTTTTTTTTTTTTACACTCATCTGGAATATCACACCATTTTGACTGTGGAAAAGAGAATACTGGCATTTTCTTTCTTCAATTCAATCAGCATTATCCTATTAGGTTAATACTAAACCTATTTAGGACGAAGAGGGTACAGACTGTCCAAGGAATAATAAAGGATTGCTTTGTGGGGAGGAGGAAATGGTTACTATACCCAGGAGACTGGCTCTTGCCCCCTTAGGTAAAACCTGTTCTTTTTAGTAACCCTCCTGGATGCTGGCTTGTCCCAAATTGCCTGTGTACGAAAAGCTCTGGGGCTGAACCCGGGATCTCTCTGTGCTTGGTAATCAACTTCTCTCCATCCCCACTTTCACAGTCTGGGGATGTGAAGGCAGCTGAACATTCCTGGCAGACCGGAAACCAGGCAGAGTTATTGAACGTGTTCACTTTCTAGTTCCTGATGTCAATATCCAAGTCTTTTGCAGCATCCTTCCCTGTTACCACAGTATCTGCTGCTGCTCTGCCAAATGCACTGCTTTCCTCCAGGGAGATTCTGATGGCTCTCTTGCATTTTCCATCAATGCAGGTAGAAGGAGGATGCTTTAGCAACCTCGAAGCCCCAGGGGGCGAAGGGCTAGTTTGCATTCAAAGGAAGCGAGGGCGTGTGTCAAAAACAGGAAGACACAGGGTTTATCAGTTTAACCACAGCCCTGGTAGGTTTGTTAAAACACAGATTGCCGGGCTCCAATTTCTGAGGATCTGATTCAATAAGGTCTGGGTTGGACCCTGAGAATCTGCATTTCTAAATTCCCAGGTCGTGCTGATGCTGCCCATCTGGATACTGCTCTTAGATGACCACTGATACAGAAGATGTTTTGGAAGAGTTGGGTTTTTTTTTCCTACCAACCTATTTCCATTTTGAAGTTGCTGGAGTTTGACCACATAACCTCTGATTTTTACTAACACTGTTAGCTCTAAGAAAATCTACTTAAAAATTGGTTTCCCAGAAAAAAAAAAAAAAAAAGCTAACTAAAAGCAATGGCAAATTGCAAAATGTGGGTGGGTACACAGACTAATGGATCAAGTTTTATTCAAAAGGTTGGTGTATATGAGATTTTCTCCCCTACAACCCAGGAAAAGAACTGCACTTTATTAATACAGAATAATCACATATTTACCTGCTCATGAGACTATCAACTCACTTTTTAATATAAAGAACATAATTATCACTGAAAAACAAAAATGTAGCAACAACATTATTTTTTTGAGCATGGGTAGTTTTCCTCTGGAAAATTGATATATAGACATCTACAGATATATATAAAACAGCGATTTAAAATTACCCCCTCATACATTTTCAACTGAATCCAATGTAGTCCCCACCATTTTGGAAACGGGAGGTGGTCCCTACAGGAATTCCCACGGAAGTGTATTTTCACAACGTACTGATTAAAAACAGTGCAGTTGTTTCCCCGTATTTATAACAAGCATTTCAACATAAGCTAAACAATTCTAAAGTGAATGAAGTTGCTTACCTTTGAGCCTCGCTCATTAAAAATAATTTCAACATCTAAGATTTTACCAAATTGCTGCAAAGAAATAGAAATATTTTATAAGCAAGAAGAGAAACACACTGAATCATATTATGCGCATGGGTAATTGTGCCCCAAGTCAGAATTTGTTTTCTCTTTTAATGTCAAGGATATACATTTTATGTTGTTCTTTCATTAAACGATGCACTTGAACCAAGAGAAAATACAACCGCATGTATTATTTCCAAATTATGGCATATCCCACCATATAAGCTATCAGAATAGGGGCCCAGTACCAAGTATGTAACCGAGAGGTTAATTCTACTTTTCTTTCTTGATATGTGAGTGATTGCCTTCCCAGGCACTGAGCAGCAAAGATTAAAAACAGCTAGTATATACAAGGGCTCTTCTAGGCTACGTCACTAGCCACTGGGCAAAGCCCGCTTGGTGAAGTGGGATTTTGATAGTAAAATATCCGACTAGAATGGGATGTTGAGGATTTTGGACCTTGGCTCTGCAAAAGCCAGGAGCAGCCAGGCCATAAAAGAGAAGTAAAGATAAAAGGAAGATCCACTACACAGACACCCATCACAAGCAAGAAACCAGCACAGTTGTGGTCTATCCTCAGGCTGAAATGTACTTCTTTCAAGATGATTCTCCATGTTGTTAAACAAATAGCGTGAATAGGCTTTATAAAAAGTGGAAGAAACTCATTCAAATCTAGAAACAAAGTTTCAGATGACAAATACATTAGGTAGCCTGATAAAATACAGATGCTTGGTTAAATTTAAATGTCAGATTTTTCAGGATAAGTGTACCCCACACAATATTTGGGACATACTTATACTTAATAAAATATTTGTTATCTGAAATTACAATTTCTGATATTGTGTCTTGTATTTTGTAACTTACTATGACTAGTAACAGACCACCCTAGTAGTCCTAGTGACACAAGCACATCAGTCTGTAATTCACACTTAAAAAATGGGAACATGGACCCCGCTCCAAAAGCATTTGATAATTCAAAATCCTTTTCCCTGATGCTGGAATCCTTTCTGTTTTCTTAGATCGCAGGAAGTCGAATGGGCATTTTTTGAGTGTGGTCTGTTCTACATGAGTACAGGTGGGAGACAGTAGCGCAAAAGCGTGTGACAAGGCCTGGGGGAAAATCAGATGGAAATTTTACCCTGACGCAGAATGAGAGCAAATGCCTGTTTCAGTGATTAAAAAACAAACAGAACAACATAAAGTAAAATTTCCATCCTCTTTTTCCCTGATTTTGAGCCTTCCTATTGTTCCATTTGCTTTTGCAGCCTGAATTTTTATTACATCTTTTATAACCCTAGGAGATTCTGTATTCTGTCTCTCTCCACTGGGTGGAAAGCCTTAAGCAGCCTCTGTGTAGCAGAGGATGGAGCCATGGGGAGGGAGGGGCAGGAGAGAAAGGGAACAATTAGATACAGAGGATTAGGGGCAGCTTGACTGACCCATGTGCACCACTCACAGAATACTGGGAGGCCCGGAGAGTAAGTGTCAAGAAGGTCTTACTGAGATTCAAAAAAAAGAAACAAAAAAATTTGGAATATACAGAGGCTATCCTCTGGAATGTACAAATAAATCTACATTACTCAGAAAGACAGAAAAACATATGTATGCTCCAGTCGAATATAAATAGCTCAAAATCTTGAAATGAGAGTAGTTTTGACTATGAGAAAAAGAAACCCAAAGCTATGTCATCTTGGGCCACAGAAATGTGCCCATCCCTCAGGATACGTACCCATCCAGGGGATTACAGACTTGAATTCTTCTTGTGGAGCAGAAGTGCTTCTCTACTTCAGCGAGAAGTAGAAGGATAGGAACCAATCAAGAAGAGAAGGCTCAACCAGGAGAGAAGATGGAAGGTCTACATCTCTAGCATGCCGTATGGAAATACCAAGAAACACGCAGCTAACTCACCCTGTAATTTGTGGATACTAAACTATTCTTTTGGTCAAGAGAAGATTCTTCTACTGCATTTTCCGTGCCCTTGATTTGGGCAGAGAAAATTGTTAAAAATAGAAGATAATTTTCAGATTTGGGAAATGCAGGATTTGCCATTGAAAGGTGAAGTGAATTTCATAGTTAAAAAGTCCTCCAGCTTTGTGAACTCCTCAGAAGCCATAATTCGGATATAACCTCCTTAGAATATTCAGTCCAGACAGATGCTATCATATTTATTTCAGGCCTAAGAGGCTGGAAGCACACATATTTATGCATAGAGAAGCTTGAAAAGGACTTCCTCTAAAACCACGAAGCAAATGTCATCCATGGAACATTCTCTAAGCAGTCAACACAAAAACACTTCCTTTAAAGTAAGATCTGGTTGAGACAGAACCAATGAAAAGGTAATCTTCACATGTGTCATTCCCTAAATGGAACAATGGCACCATATGCCCTGAAATGGTCCCCAATGTTTGCCTCTTTGGCAGTTGCCACTGGGTGGAAGATCCTCAAAGCCAGTGAAACAAGCCATAAGAAGAAGGCTGATGTAAGCCCCCTTCCTAAGGCAGTTGTGTACTATGTTTATAGTATCAACAGTTTAATTGGGAAGTTTGGTACTAATGATGTAAACACAGCTGGCACATTTTCAATTTAAATAGACACAACTCATTCGCAGACATAACTAGGATTTGTTTGCTCAACACCGACATTCAGCCGTGTTCAACAACATCTCAGAATCCAGGCGACGTGTTTCAATAGCTGTGTCAAGGATAAAATCCAGGAGCTTACAGGCACACACTTGGGCAAATAGGTACCACCCATTTTTAGATATTCTCAGATCAAATAATATTTCTTTGAAAACCTCTGAAAAGTGTTCAATGGATACAGTATAAAACATGAAAGTAAAGCTTAGTTCAAAGAGTGTGCATGAAGGCTAAGAAAAGGCATCATCCCAGTTTTCTTAGGGTCGGCTTCATGTTTTGGATGCAGAATAGAAGGCAACATGCCATGTCCGAAAACATCTCTATTTTGTTATACATCAAAGGTGATCGTGAAAGCTTCTTTTCTTCTCTAATGAAAACTTCTCTTGCATGTTCTGAAAGTCATGTAATCTGTGTCTGGTGACAATAGAGAATTCAGTGGATCATATTCATGCCCCAAAGGCCTGTATTTTGATAACGAAAGCAAGGTTGTGCCCTTGACAAGGGAGTGGGTAAAATCTGAAGCCAGTACTCACTGAATAGCTGTTTCTGAAGACAATTCTAGAATGAAATGCCTTGTATCAGAGGTCTGGATCTATAATCACCACCTCTCTCACACCGCAAATGCTTACTATTAAATATTAAGTTAAATTGAGCTTTTTATTCAAGAGCAAGACATTGTGATTAACTTGGTGGAAATCCATACATTGCTTTCATGGGTTCATTGAAAATTCAAACGGAAAGGAAACGCATGCTCTGACATGATCAAGAAGTAGGTAGCTGGGGCCAGAACCAAGGCCCCTGATAATATAAGATCCCATTCACTCACATGCCAACTGGTGTTTTAAAAAGACTCGGGCTTCTGCTTTGGATGTTGTGGCCACATCATGTTTTGACCAAGGAAAGTTCCATCTAAAACAGAAAAAAAACCCAGGAAATCTAAGATGACCTGGATGATTTAATGCCAAACACTGGAACAAATTTATCCAAAAGAGAAGGAAGTAAAGAATATAAAGCAAGGGGCTTCCCTGGTGGCGCAGTGGTGGAGAGTCCGCCTGCCGATGCAGGGGACACGGGTTCGCGCCCCGGTCCGGGAAGATCCCACGTGCCACAGAGCAGCTGGGCCCGTGAACCATGGCCGCTGAGCCTGCGCGTCTGGAGCCTGTGCTCCGCAACAGGAGAGGCCACAACAGTGAGAGGCCCGCGTACCGCAAAAAAAAAAAGAATATAAAGTGAATTGTGAAAGAAGGGAAACCAGGATTCTGACAAAGAGACACTAAAGCCACACATTAAAAATAAAATGTTGAGGCACCTGCGGTAACCATTAGGCCTGCAGGGGTTGCGAGCTTCACGGCTGAATTACTCATGGTTACAGAAGTTGTTCTAAACACTGCCAATGAAAAAGGAGGCTGTTTTTCCATTGGGTTTTGTTTTGGTTTGAAATCCCCATGGCCATATTGAACAAAAGAGACCAAGAAGAAAAATGCAAAAATCTTTGTGAGGGTTTTTCTCTGCCATCTCACTCCTTGTAGCCCCTGCCAGAGTGAAGGGACCAGGGCAAAACATAGCAACAAAAGGAGAGATGACATCTCATGTCTCAATGACTTGGAAAACACCTGATTGGGATTAAAATGTGATTTCTTAGAGTCACTATGAACCAAAAGAGGAAACCACGTTTAATTCTCTCAACTGGAGTGGAGGAACCAATCAGAATGTTTACAGATGCCTTTTCATGTGATTCATGCCACTAAATGTATCACATAACCACACGGGTTTGCCGCCACCCAGGTTTGGCCAGGAAGGATAGATTTTTTGCAGTATTAAGATTCCATGGCTTCAGAATGGTGGTTGTAAACCAAGGAGGTCTCAGAGTTATTGCAGAGTCCAGGAATCCGTAGGTCCCCGATGATTTTTATGGACAAAACCCATGAAAAAATCTTGCATACTTTAAAAATTGGACAGAGAGGCAGTTTGTGATGAACTGAATTAATTTCAGAATTACCGAATGCTGCATTTTCTGAATAGATAGATAGATTCTAAGTGTAGCTATCATCTTGTCAAATCCACATCTTGTCAGTTGCTTGAAAATTTTGACTTACAAAAAGTAGCTCTGAAACTAGTAGATTTTGATCAAGGTTTGACAACCGGTAGCACGATCCATCTTTTGGCAAGACTTTGCTCTATGCCACCTGTTCTACCCCGATAAGAATAGAGAGGCTCAGATATTCACACAAGCAGGGTCTCTTCTTCGGAGTCTAGCTGTGAATATTTTGAATACCTTAGCAGTGTAGCCCTCTGGTAACTTTCAAGATAACAAAGAAGACAAGCGAGGACAGAGCATCCTCAGGGGTGGGAGTTAGGGTGTGTTGCAATGAGTGACACCAGAAAAGAGCACAGGATGGTCATTAAGAGGACCAAATTCAAAGCCAGCATCCCAGTGACACTTGATGAATTAAGACACATTGAAGAGCAAGACAACTTCTGAACCTGACGTGGCAAAAGGGATCTAATTCTTCTGGCTGTTGATCATTCAAACCTGGTTTCACTGCTTTACACACACTTAACCTTGGCTTTAACTTTGAATGTTCTGCACTTTTCAAAGTCATCTTTGACCTGAAAGTGCCCGAGGGTATCTCTGCTCTGCAAGAGTTAGAGGGCTCAACTCAAGGTTATTACCAAATGAGAGAGATAAAAGAGCAGAAGTTGACCTTTTCCACTGAAATGTCAGGATTCAAGCCTGGGTATCTTAAATATGAGGACGCTTCTTTTGCTTTTGTGTCAGATGCATACTTGATAAACATCATGCATGTTAAAGAAAATGTTCATGCTAACCCCACCATTGTGGAGTGATGACACAGAGCTCGCCTTTTCACATGGGGAAGGAGATCTAGTTGGCTCAGAGCTAGGCATTAAAGTTGAGCCTCTTCTTATTCCTTTTGTAATATCTGCATCCATCCCAAAAGCTTTTAGAAGGGGAATCTCTAGGCCGCCAACCTCTACTCTAAGTCATATGTTAAGGACATAGTTTTGTTCATTGAATCCACAGACATTTCCCACCAATGCTGGGCTGTCATAGACAAATAGACTGACTGCATTTGCAAAAATAAATACTATCCAAGTCCTGTCGTAGCTTTGTCCTTTGATGGAACACTGAGTCCAAAGAAATGGCAAACTCATCCCTTCCCAAGGAGGATGGTGCAAATATCGTCCAGAAAAAGAGTCAGGGTCACAATGTCCCATGAGCAAGCAACCCTATCATTTCTTTTCTCTGGGTTGGTGGTAGCTTCTGCCCTGCTCTGTGTTCCACCGTGGTGCCTGGGCAAGGCTGTCATTTGTGGCATATGACATCACAATCAAAATCTCTGAATCCTCACCACGGATTCTGGGAGAACGTACATTGCAGGATGCATGTCAGACTCAGAAATCTGTAGTGGATTTGTTTTGTTTTGTTTCGTTTTAGTGAAGCTTTATGCAGAACTAATTATTCTCAACTTCCTCTGAAGTCTAGATGCTCAGTGCCTGGGAGAGAGTACGGTCTGCAGAAATATGTCATGAGTCACTCTTCCTAATAATTTGGCAATTGCAATAGCAAGAAAAACCAAGGTGGATCATCATGGTTATTTTAGTCATGACATGGGGTCCCGGGCCACTCGATGGGGGATCATCAATGGGCTTGTTGCAACCATGTGCTATCTGGGAGCCCATTTTCCATTTGACATTCAAATTGCTAATTAGAAGAAGTGCCATTGGTCCAAGTGGAAACCTGGTGAACATATGCAAAGAAATTCATACTAAAATCATAGAGATCCTGGCCCCAAGACACCCACAGACTAGGATCTAAAATGCCTTTTCTTCCCCAGCCATGTAAACACCTCACCTTCGTATTATGAATACCAAGAACTTACATGAGGAGGGAAGGGCTCTGGGGATCCCAGAGCGGGCACTGCAGAGGAGAAAGGCAGTACTTACGCCAAACATTTGTCGGAGGTCGGGATCCCGGAACCTGAAGGGGATGTTGGAGACGTGCAGCCTCTTGGGCTGGGACTTATTTTCCGTATTTTCGGAAGGCTGTGTCTGGGGCTGACCATCCGTGGGCGCCGCATCATCTGTCTGCTAAAAGAACAAGAGGAAAGCAAAGAGGCTCTGAGTGGACCCGAATGTTCTTTCCAGTGTGCTTTTGCTTCCCCTAAATGGTAGGAAAATGCCAGAACAAAGGAATAAGGACAGGAAGAAACTGCTGAGTCATTCATTCATTCATCCAACAAATATTTATTGAACATCCACTGAGCGCCCATCACGGATCCAGGATTCAGCAGCAAGCAAAACAACAAAGATCGTTACTGTCATGGATCCTAATTCACACAGGGGAAGACAGACAATAAACTCATTAAGGAAATACAGAGCTGGCAGAAGGAGATAAGCACTATGGGGATAAAGCAAGGGGAGGGGCTCGCTGGTACTGGGGTGCAGCGAGTTCTAATAGATAATTAGAGAAAACCTCATCTAGAAAAGGAGAATACTCATTAAAGGTATCCCTTCATCGAGGCTGTTCAAAAATCTGAAAATACGCCTGCATAATTTTTGAGGCCATACAGATAAAAATATTAGTAAATCTCCTAAAAAATTTGAAGAGGCTGTTTGGTGTTCTGAAGTCCAAGTAACCATCTGCCAGACTTAAATTTTATTTTTTACGGTTTTCATTTTTCATTTCTTGATTGTGCAGGCCTATGCTGTTCATTATGGTTGACCCCATGTGGCTCTTTAAAGTGAAATGAACTAAGATTAAGTAAAATGGGAAATCCAGTGCCTTCATTGCACTAGCCACATTTAGCATGCTCAGTAGCCACACGTGGCTGGTGGCTTCCATGTCAGACAATGCAGATACAGAACATCTATATCTAGCAAGTTCTGTTGGCCTAAGTTGGTGTAGACAATGTTACATTGTTAGCATAACTCATTACTCTGCCTCCCACTCTACCCCATCCCCCAAGTAAAAGCCTGGATAGTATGATATTACATTGACACCCCTATACAGGCAGGAACCAGGAGAAAAGCCACTTTAACATTTGAGTTAATCATATAGGCCATTCCCATACTCTCAGTTCTAGAGTTTTAACATTTCAGAGATGCTTCATTTCTAGATACTTTCTCTGCAATTAGCATGTAGTGCCTCTAGGTGGCAGTAGATGCCACCTACATCAGATAACCGGCTTCGTAAAACAATGATGGAAAACCCCTGCAAGAAGCCCCATCAAATTTACCAGCAAGGGACTGTCCCCACCTACTTATAAGCAATTTAGAAGCATTTACCTGGGACAAAACTATCAATGCAGGCAGCTAGGTGTAAAATAATAAAGACAATCTTACCAACTGACATATGTATATATAAAGCCAAAATAACATGGGCATAATTAGTGACTTTCTTGTCAACCCTTGTATTTACTGACAGATTTCACTGGCAACTCCTTCCTAACACACCCTAAATTGTATCTGGAAGTCAAGACGTTCCGGTGGTTGCCATACTACTCTTCCAAGCTCCTTTGGTATTCAAAACCTACCAGCTAACTTTCTTCAACTTTCAAGGGCCCCGTCATGAAGATAATGTACCTGGTCATTTTGCCAACGCTGTTGGATTGAATAAAGAGGATGGTGATCGTTTTCTAATATGGAAAATGAGCAATAACAATGGTGCACACCTATAAGGTTCTGTGACGACTGAACACAGTAACACATGATGCTGACTTGGCAGAGTTCTCGGCACACAATACAGTCAATAAATGGGAGGTGAGGCAATTTTTAGATTGGCGGTGATTTTTACAAAAATGTCAAAGGACACGTGCAAAAAGCCTCTCAGGAAACATGAAGGAAAGGTTCTCATACGCTTATTAAACACATCTTTCCTGAGCAACTACTATCCCCTGGACACTTAAGTTCGTCCTCCAAAGCATATGCAGTCCCCAGTTTAGTGGAAGAGAAAGAGGTAGAAGACGACAATTGTAATACAGACTATTGAGAGCAGGGGTCAAAATGAATCACAGGGGGCTGAGTAAACTTAAATCAGGGACACACCACAGGCGTGCCGATTCTGAAGGTTACATTTTCACTGGGAGATGTTTAAGAGAAAGGGTAAAGGGGACCAATACTGTACCAGCAGAGGACAAAGAATGTGGCAGGATGCAGAGAGGTGAATCGTGTTCTGGATTCGGGGGAATACACGTGGACCTTTGTGTCACTAGTTGGTGGGCGTGTGTATGAAGGAAGGGCGGGAGAATACACTGTAGAGGGAGGCAGGGGTTGGACCATGAAGAACCTGGGTGCAGCCCAAGAGGATACATTTCATCCTAAAAACTAGGGGGAGACACTTAAGGATCATAGCAGGGGTGTGACATGGGCAGCGCGAGACACAAGCTGAGCCATGGGAGATGAATGATAAATGTCTCTTTCCTGGCTGGCTGACTCACCAACTGAATGGGTGAATGCATTACGAGTATATGAAGAAATGAATGAATGAAGGAGTGAACCATCAGCTTTGCCACCTTCAAGTGATAGTCGAAGAACAATATTATAACACTGAGACCCAGAGCAGGGACTGTGTTTTCTCTGCTGGTAATATGAAGTCTGGCGACATACCCATGAGATAGATAGAAATGACTTTGCATCATGAGATTGTCACTTTCACAGGGGTCAGGGGTCTTAACTACCCCAACAAAAGACTTCTCTAAGTTTGCAGAAGCAGCAGCTCAGCCCCCATGCTTTCAAGCCCACTTTTTCCCTCTTGTTAGAAGTTGCTGTTCAAATGCAAATTAAAACCAGCTCCTTCTCCTCCCAAGAAGGAAACTTAGATTTGGATTTGTGTATATCTGCTGGATATTTCAGCTTAATAAACCTAATTAGGAATTACAGAGATTATGATTAAACATATTAAATGATTAATAGCATTATGCTGCTCATGTGAAAATGAAAATTAATCATCTTTAGTCAAACAGGACTTTGGAGAAATCTTTGCATTGTTTCCTTTGATAAAAACATACACCGCTCAATTAATCATTGGGTAGCGTGTGCAAATATACAAATGCTCATAAATGGTTGTGTCGGAATACCTGTGTGTTAAAAGTAATTTCAAAGATAACATGGAAGAAGAAAAACTCAACCAAAAATACTTCAGACATCATAGGGGAATGGAAAGGAAAGGGAAGAGGAGGAATGTCAGGATCCAGAGGTTGAAAAAGAAAAATAGAAAAAAAAACCTTTTAGATTGAGCATACCTGCTTCTGTGGTGTGATGTAACACAAGATGGGGCTTTGATGAGGACCAAATGTAGTAGGAGGTGAACAAAAAAAGCTACGACAGAGCCTCAGTCACGCTAGGAGTCAGAGCTACAGGAATGACCCTTACTGACCCACATCTTGAGTATTTCAGGCTGTGAGATTTCCTTTTTGTTGGGAACTTTCAGAGAAAACATATTCAGAACATATTCAGTGTTTTATATCCCTCTATTAGTTTCCGAAGAAATTACCAAAACCCTGGTGACTTAAAGCAACAGAAACTGATTCTCTCCCAGTTGTAAGGGCCAGAAATGTACAATAAAGGTGCCATTGGGGCCATGCTCCAGCTGGAGGCTTCCAGGGGAAATCCTTCCTTGTTCTTCCAGCTGCTGGTGCCTCTTGGCTCAGCGGAGCTGCATTGCTCCAATCTCTCGTCTTCGTTTGGCCTTCTTCCCTCTGCATGTCTGAGACTCATCTCCCTCTGCCTTTTTCTTCTTACAAGGACATTAGTCATTGGATTTAGAGCTCACCCTAAATTATGATCTGGTCTTGAAATCCTTAACTTAATTACATCTGCAAAGACCTTTTTTTTCCAAATAAGGTCACATTCCCAGGTTTACGAAGATCAGAACATAGACATATTTTTTGAAGGCCATCATTCAACTCACCAAGACCCCTGCTAAGCAAACATACTGGAAATGCATGGAGAATGAGTAATTGTTATCAAGGGTTATCAAGGTGTGGTTGTACTTTTTACCAGTTCTGGCGGCATGGGGCTCTCAAAAGGGTTGGCCTCAACCCAGGTTCAGAAGAAGGGAGAATGTCCCTACTAGAGGTGCCCCCAGGCTCTCATCCATCACACTGGCCACTCTGATGAGTTCCCTAAAACGAGAAGAGACTTGAGTCTTCCCTTCAAACGCAGGGGCTCCAAGACCCCCTTTCTGCACCTGCTTCTGGATGCACTGACACGCTTCGGCCGGGCTGAGGAGCGTTCCTTCAGCCTCCAGAAAGGCCACCAGCACTTGCAAGAGGAAGACCTGCCTGCAGGTTCCCTGAACAGATGGATAAGCATCCCTGAGAACTCCGCTGAAGCTTATGGCAAAAGCGTAGGGCACAATGTCTAAAGACAAAAATAATGTGAAAAAGCTGTACAACTTACTAAAAGAATGAAACATCTAGAATGTGTCTTTCTGAAAGGCAGTGTCTACCTGGTTTGCAGTTACATTCCCCAAGGCTTATGCATGTCAAAGCTTAGTGGGAATTAATCGTTGAAAGAAGAACTCTTGATTTATCCATGTCTGATGTTTTTCTTTTGAAAGTCATTTTGCCTCTAAAGTGGGAACCAACTGAATTAGAAATGTGCCTCGTAAACCCCATTTGGAAGATCAGAAGGTGGAACATAAAAACGAAGCAAATTCATACTGGTCCACTCGCTCAGAGATTGAAGGAAATTGAGACAAGTAAGGACGTGAGAGCCGTGAGCAGAATGGCCAGGGCACCATCCGTCTCAGAACCCTCCCATCCAGACCCTCACCCTGGTCTAGGAGATACAGCCCTAACCCCCTTGCTTCCTACCGCTCCCCTGTCTTGTTCACGGGCCTCTTTGCTCTCCCTTCAACATACTCAACACACGCCTCCTTAGTCTTTGCACCTGTTTGTTAGTCCCTTTGCCTGGGTATTTCTCTCCCCAGACGCCTGTGTAGCTTGCCCCCTGTTGCCAGTCAGGTCTCTGCCCAGATATCACTGATCGGAGAAGTCTTCCCTGGCCCCATCATCTCCTGGGCATATACCCAGACAAAACTCTAATTCAAAAAGATACATGCACTTCTATGTTCATAGCAGCACTAT